CCTCACATGTCACTTTCACGAGTAAAGCTCTATAAAGAAGCATTTATCAACCCATAATCTACAAAGGCTCTTTAAAATGATATTTGTCGATAACACTAGAATCACTTGTAAACCAAATTTCTGAAAACACCCCCTTATAAAAGAGGCCTTATACATCAAACAGTTCACCCCCACTATCAACATTACCTTGTTTAACAATGGTAACAGAGTGCTGAAATTCTTCTAAAAATAGACGTCCACATGAATTTCAGCCATGCCCAACACATGATTGCTCGTAATTAATGCTCCTACTACAATTCACAAATAATACATCTCACACAGTCAAAACATGTGAGTAAACTGACTACACCAAAAACGACCCCCTTGAAAATAGCTAAAAAAGTGGCCAAAAGTGCTTGGACAAATGATGATATGGACAGATTTTGTACTCACTCACTCCTACCAAATGGAAAAATGTAGGACTGCTGGAAAAACTAAATAAAAAAATTAATTAAATTTTCCTTGTCTGTCATATTTAACAAAAGATGTTTAAAAGAAAGGTTGCTGCCCAAATATACATTGATAGCAGTTGGCTCTTATAACAATGTCATCCACCCTTTGACAAGTTTTGATTTTCATCCAGTGGGGTGACATGTCACTCTCCTCACCAACAGAAATGTTTGTAAGGAGCTGGTTTAGACGTCAACCACTCATCCATACAGCAGGTTATACTACCTTTCACTACCCCCACAAATAAAATGCATAAATGAGGCTTTGTTATATTAAGCGTCTGGTGGCAGAACAAAGAAAAAACAATAAAGGTTTAAAGAAATAATTTTATTAATGTAAAATACAACAAATGATAAATCGGTATAAATGTCTCTTGTTGAAAAAAGGAAATAAGTGGAGTCGCAAAAAGTGTCCACAGAGACATACGGAAGGAAAGGGAAGATGTGTTATGACTTATTGTGGTGACAGTACTTGGAAAGTTATATTTTCAAGTGAAGTCCTTGTTAAGTTGGTAGATAGATGCCTAGCTTTATCAAGGTAATTGCATTAACTAACGTTCCTACTGCCAGTCAATCAGGCAGTAGTAATGAAAAGAGTTGTCACTGGCAGTACAAGGGGAGGGTGAACTAAAAAAAATAGAACAAGGTACTTTGACACGGTCGTGTTGTTTGTTACAAAGTTGTTGACAGCTAGATCTCTTCTTTGCATTATTTTCTTTTTTCTTTTTTTTTGGGGGGGGGGAGAAAATTATAATTATTTTTTGTGTGCAATATAGATTGCAACCTGAAATAATCAATTTTTCAAAATTTTCTTTCATATAATGCATTTTTAAGCACTCAAAATCAACCGTATAAAAGCCTAATAGTTTCTTTCTTCTCTCACACTTCTTCGTTTTTAAACTCTCTTTCTGGCTTTGCTGTCGATTACGATCTTCAAAAATTTCATTTAAACACAATGTTTATTGTCATCCAGTCTCATTGGAACCTGGTCTTTTTCTTTGACTCTTAGAAAAACTAACCCCTTGCATCTTTTGTGGAGTTTTTTATACCCTTACTTCCGGAGTCTGCTTCGAGATGAAATTAGCCCCATTTTAAATGGAAGAAGATTCCAACCCTACAGCAAAACGTTCCTTACACTAGGACCAGATGGGGTGGGGGTTGGGGTAATTATCGACACCTACTTGATAGTAGCCGGAGACGTGACAGTTTTTGTACTTTGCGTCTTTGCCCATATGCATATGTATGCCGATGCGTATAGTGCACCACACGTAAAAATAAAACCGACCATGTTCTTAGTGGGAAGGCAGGGTAATTTAGGGGGTGAAATGATTAAAAATTTTAAAGTTATTAAGAAAATAAAAAAAAAGTTAATAGAGGGACCCAGTATGTAGATTGCAAATAACTCAACACCAAAACCTAGGGAAAGACAAAAAACAAACAATGAAATGATTTTAAAATGTAAAAAAGTAAGGAATTTTTAAATGTAATCTGGAATGTTTTATTTTTTAATGACAAACGCTTGTACAGTGTAACCCGGATGTAAGAGAGTTGTCGGGACCTGAGAAGAAGTCTCTTATATCCGGGTTGGGTCTAATTTATATACATTAACACAGGCTCTAATTTGGGACCAGAGAAAATCTCTCTTATATCCGGGTTTCACTGTAATAATTGAAATACACTAGCAAGCTGAAATAGTTTTAATCTTTTACGGATTATTAAGAAATTACTTAGCATGAGTATTATTTTGTTTTGACTTCAGTGACTTGTATGTGTTTTACTTTTGTTGGGGTGATTTACTTAGCAAACTGTACCTTTCCCCATTAACTTTTATAAAATTTAATTAGAAAATATATTGTGATTTAGAATGCTTAAATTAATTCAGAAACGTTTCTTGTTTCGAGTTATTTAATTCAGTCTGTTCAAAAACAGGCAATTCGATATTTAGTTGGCAATAATAACATAACGAAAGGACTCGTGTAAAAACTTTATTCCAACTCAATATTTAACAGAATAAAAGGGACATAACTGTCTGTGACTGGTAATAAAGTCACAGAAAAAAGTTAGAATTTTGGTAAGTCAAAAAAAAAAATTCACAATTCATTTTGAAGACCGGAAAGTCATCAATTTTTATCGGGTACTTTATGAGTTTATGGGACTGCTGTGTTTGCAACAGAAATAGTAAATCGATCCAACCTCTAAAAACGTTTTTTTAATAATGCTATGATCACATATTCGATATATTTCACACTGTTAGTGTTAGTTAGGGAGTTCTAATATCCCATAAGACCAGACTTCGTGTTAAGAAAATCTCTCAATTTGACACTAAAAATTGAATTAAAAGGTCGTTAAATTTTCAATCTATTTTTTAGACCAAGATTTTGTCAGCTGTCTGTGTGCTATCATCGACTTTCTTTTCTTTTTTTCCTGTGACTCTTTTACACTCTGTCCTATGAAGTGCTTTAATCATTATTATTAGTTATTTTTAATTTTAAATAATGATTTTCTATAATATAACATAACACATTATGAAAAAGAATTTTGAAAACAAATTTCTGGTTGCAGTGTCTACTCTAAAGCTCCACCCACTTTTTTTCTATTTTTTAAACTGTAATGTAAACTTTCCTGTTTTTCACGTTTGATGAAATGGTTAGGATACGAGAGGAATTGAAAATCTATTTTCAACTTATTTTTCTTCATGAAAATACTGAGGGCTACAAATTCTATGTGCTTTTAAATAAAAACTTATAATTATTCAGGAATTTATTTTCCTGTGAAAAAATAGACGTAAAGATGTTCCAAGAAATACATTTAGTCATTAGTGAAATTAGGAATTTAAATAAAATTATGAACACAAAAAGGAATCTTTTACAAAACAATGCGCTCAACAATGAATTAGTGATTCGTTCATTGTAAATAGGTCGGCTTATAAGTTCGACAATGTAGTTTTAATTAAAATGGAAAGTAACGTAAAACGAAAATATATTGAAAGTGCATTAATTTCATAAACCTCTATGTACATGTACATTTGCAGTGACTTCGAAATAATAAGTCCCTTTTTAGCCACTCTCATCAAATTCGGATTAGCTGAAAAAGACGGAAATGATTTCGCGAGCCTATTTGAAATTTTCTTTGGGCCACGGGAAACTTTGCCTTCACAGAGATTGATCGGTTTCGACTAAAAATAAATATCCGGTATTTTTTGTCACTGATGTAGAATAGATGACATGTCTAATTTATTCCAACTGAGATCATTTTCGGGGCTTGTTCATTGGTGGTGATGTTCGTATCCATTTTCTAAGTGTCTCGGCGTTGGGGTTATTTTTTTTAAAAAAAATGTAGTTGAAATATTTCTAGGAAGAAATGTCCTGGGAATGTCAGCGGCAAGTCACAATTTTGTTGTTTGTAGATAATTACATTTATTTGTATGTTCACATTGGAAAATATTTTATGACGATGAGTCAGTAATAATTTTTAGAGTGTTCTTCGACGGTGCTCACCATTTTTGCAGAGTCGGTCTCGACGGATTTTTGCAGGAGTCTCATACTTGTTTGAGCTTCACTTATTGGCCGTAAAATATAGAACTTTATATCCTATACTACTTAGAAATGCTGTGGCTAATAACAGCTAATAAAATAGAAAATAAAAATATCTGTGAACAAATCAGTCAGCTTTGACGTAAGAAAATGTTAAAATGTAAATAAAATATACTGATTTGATAAAAGTTACAGTAAGAAAACAACAGAAATAGAAATTTCTTTGGACAGTTTCTTTAACTTTTATCTGGATCTACAAACCAAAAACCGAAACGTATTCGAAAATTGGGAAAATATAGTGTGTTGGCTACTAAATAATGTCTCTACAAGAAAATTGTACATGAAATAATAGTAGTGAAATACATGCACAAAATGACAGAAATCGATTGATCTGAAATACAAGATAAAATTTTTATTTTTAAAATAACAAAAAGGAAAGTTTAAGAGTTCTTTACCTAAATATAAATGGAATACACAACGAAAAATTGTTAATGTATTATTTGGCTGAATTGCCTGTGTAGGTGTGTGTGTAAAAAGCGTCCACACTTTTTTTTTTTTTTTCTTCGGTGTGAAAAGTTGATGGCACACACTTCGAAAGGAGTTTAAACAAAAAAGAGTTAAGTGTTCGCTTATTTTTACCCTCCGGGCTGATTCTGATGTATTTTTATTAAGACACTACATGATTAAGGAAAAAAAAATAGACATTGAATTTAATTTGTTGGCTATTTTCAATATTTTGCGATGGTTTATGGGCAGCCCATATAAAATTTATGTGTGTATTTAGATAGTAATTGTTCTTCATAAAGTAAGAACAATTGTAGTCGTTGAGATAGTATCGTCAATTTTGCAACAAACTTCTTTTTTTTTTTTTTTTTTAATAACAGCTCTGTTGAGTTTGAGATTTTATTTTCTTAAGTCAGAAGAAAGAGGATTTTTTTTTTTTTTTTTTTTGACAAAGATTATATTTCAGTTTTCTTACCTGCTCTTCAATCGTTTTGTTGAGTTCTCTAATTTTTTTCTGTGATTGCTTTACTTCGTCGAGGAGTTCCTCCATGACTGAATGAAGTTTGTGTTTTCTTCCCAATACGGCGTCAAACAATTCATTCAAGGTGTCTTCCACATCAAGAAAGCTCTCTACAAGTTTTTCTTTGGGAAGACTTGTTTTTTCATTATTGCCAAACTTAGACTCGGATTTTGTTGCCATCTTATTATTTATCTCTTATTTTATTTAAATAAGTCAAGGTCTAGTGCTACGTACTCTCTCCTCAACTATTAACTACTGAAATTACTAACAAAAATGTTGCATTTTCGTTTTCTTCGGGTTCTTGGCTTTTCCGTGTAAATATTTACTTTCACTTTATTCTAGGTCGTCACGTTCATAAGTTCAATTATAAGATTGCATTCTTCCTTTATTTTTTCTTTTTCTCTTTTAGTGAGTAACACGGATTTTTATCAAAGACACTTACTATTTATTTAGTGACCATGTTGAGCACTTGATGAAAAATTTCCCAAAAGAATGGACATCATACAAAGAAATAAATGAAAAAATATTTTTATCCGTACAAATTTTTTACAACAGCGCTTGTTTAAACAGTTTTAGATTTAATAATGACATCACAAGACACGCCCCAAATTGATCTTGTCAATCTTTATGTTCTCTGTCTCTTCAGGATGTGGAAGGTTATGGTTCTCCACGGCTTCCTGTCCTTTATTGATCTAAGCTATGTTTGTCCTCTTACCACCCCTCCCAGTTTCTGTGAATAACAAATTTAGTTTTATTTTTTTTATTTGAATCGATAAAATTAAAATACATTAAAATAAATATATTGTCAAACAAAAACTCAAAATTAGGGCTAAAAAATAACTGACAAGAGATATTTAGAGACAGTTTTTTACTTATTTAATAAAACAACCTAAAATTCACTTAAATAAATGTATTATTGTATATTATTTTATTTATTTATTTATTTTGGTTAAATTTTTAAAAATTGATTCTTTATTTTTATTTAGGAAAATGAAAATATATACTTTGCTCGCTGCTGGTAAGGGCGCTGTAACCTAATAATTCATGACATCAATTTTCTCCGGCGAAAGTTTGAAACGGCTGGGTGCGATAACATTTTTTTTTTTTTTTAAGGCTTGTCCCAGGTAACGCTAAAAAAGTGGTATACCTTGGAGAAAGAAGGTCCTCAAATTGATAAAAAAACATTTAACGTGTAAATATATATGTTTTAAATTAAAGAGGGACGACCAAGGTATTTTTTAATTATTTTTAAAATTGTTTTTTTCATTTGCAGCATTTTTTAAGTTTAGGTTGAAAATCTTGTTTGTTTGTTTTTTAGGTCAAAAATTAGGTAATATACTTCTTGTTTTTCCCTGTTTTCAGTTGAAAAAAACACATTGATTTGGAAAATCTTGCAAAAATCAAGTACTTGTTGGATTTTAATGAAACTTTCAGAACTTATTCACAAATGAATGAAATTATTTTAGAAATGTTTGTCTTTTTGAAAGTCATGGTATAAATATATTTTTTTTTATATCTGTTACACCCCTCGAACTTAATTTTATGAAAACTTCAAAAATTTATTTTCAAAGCCTGAATTTGTTTTTTCAATTAAATGCACAAAACTCTGAAGATTCTAAATCATCGATTTTTTTTTGGTAAAAAAATGTGCAAAATTGTCCAAACTTTTACCTCAATTGTAGAAATACAAAACCCAATAAAACTCAGACAGTATTTAATTTAAAAAACTTTTTATGACTTTTCTGAATAACATATACTAAGGTAATTCTTATTTGAAAAAAAAAAATTTGATGGAAAATGAATTTTTACAATAATTTTTTCTTTTTTTTCTATTTTAAATACACAATATGACAAAATGTTGTTATATATTTTAAAATTAAGTTTCTTAATAAAGCCTTATGGAAATGACATATTATGTTCTCTACTTCTTATAGATCATAAATTTGAAAGCTTATTAAAATCTGACAACCGTGAATATTTTTAAAATAATTTTTAATATTCCAAAATTGTATTTAAAATCGTCTCCAACGAAAGTATGGATGCACAACGTTGAAATAACGTCACGTGAGGTAGAGTTGTTTCCCTAGATAGAAGCAAGTTATTTTTACTTCAGAAATTTTTCCTCAAATGTAAGGTTAAAAAGATTTGAAAGTGAATTTTTTTTTAAAATTTACTAACCAGGTACACTTAAAATTAGAACGAATTACATCACTTCTGCGCTACCGTACGATAAATTCCCTTGACGTAAGTTGTCAATATTTTGACAGCCATCAATTAACACCCTTCAATCACGCACCCTCGCGAGTACCTTGGTTGGAAATATCTCTATTAAAAAATTTTCTGCTAAAAAAGTAAGTAATGTTTCTTTCAAATTACATTAAGTATACTTTAATCATTCTAAATTTCCTAAGATAACTAAAAAAAAAAGGTGTAATTGATTTTTAATTGATTTTTGAACAAATTTTGATTTTTTGTTTACAAATTCAGGCAGAAATGTCCGATAAATCGAATTTACTCATTTTTTTTTTTTTATTCAAGAAAAACGAATTTTTTAAAAAAATTTTTTAAATTTATAGGAAGGATTAAAAAATCTGAAAAAATATTCTAAAAATACTTTGGTCTTCCTTCTTTAATTTTAACATAAACATTTACACGTTAAAAAATTTTTTTTATCGATTTGGGGATCTTTTTTCTCCAGGGTATACCACTTTTTTAGCGTTACCTGGGACATACCTTTTTACAATCAGTATTTTGACTCGAGTCAAGATTTTGGTGAATTTTATAAATGAATTTTCGGTAAATATTCAGATAATGCCCCAGTGACAAATCAAAATTATTTCCTGGTGTAAAAAAAAAAGTCTGATTATTCAAAAAAAAAATTTGGTGGAAATGTACAGAATTTAGTTTTAGTCTATTTTTGGAATAATCAAGCGATTTTACACCAGAAATGATATTTTTTAAAAATTGTCACTGGGGCATTATCCGCAAATTTACCGATTTTTTACCTAAGACTAATTTATCCAAAAAAAAAAAAAAAAAAAAAAAAGTAAAGAAAAAAAAAAAAGAAATTCTTCTTCTAGGTTCCGTTTTCCTTCGGGACGTGGATGACCATAGCTCTCTAGCACTCCCTATTCTTTGTAACTTCTACCAAAATTTCTTTTATCCGTCACATTCTGCCATCCTTTTACACAAGCTCGTTCTTTCCCTTTTGCCTGTGAGTGTAAAATACCCAAGCCTTCTTTCCTAAGTTCTAAAACTAAAAGATTTCTGCAATCTTTTTTCTTTTCTAAGTGGGGTTTTAAGGTACCTCCACTATGTCGCCAAAAAAGCAGCATATCACGATGAAAAAAGACCCATAACTCAACGAAAACAAAGTTTTGTCTCATTATGTTTTAATGTTGTTATTAAGAGGAAAAAACCAAAGTATTTTTTTATTATTTTTTGAATTTTTTTACTCCTTTCTAGCACGTAGAAAATTTTGGTTAAATTTTTTTTTTTTTACCACAGCACATTAATAGAGAAAAAAAGGTTTGTTTTATTTTGCGCTTTTCCCGAGGAAAACACACGTTGATTTGGAAATTATTGCAAAAATCAAATAATTGTCGGATTTTAATGAAACTTTCAGGAAATATTCAGAAATGAATGAAATTATTTTTTTATTTTATTTATTTTTTTTTTTTTTTTTAGAAAATCTTGTTAAAAAGATATATATTTTTTTAACATGTTTCCACCCCCTTACATATTTTCATGAAATTTCGAGAAATTAAATCTTTAAGCATGGGATTTGTTTTATTAGTTAAAAACAGGACTCTTAGAAAGTAAATCACCAGTTTTTTTGTTGTTTTTTTTTTTTTTTGTTTATTTATTTTTTTTTGTTTTTGTAAAACAGTTACCCGTTTTATAGAAAATCTGCTTTGAATTATAAAAAAAAATGTAAAAAACTATGACATTAATTAAAACTAAAAGCTTTGACTTGCTTTTGTAAATAAATACGTTGTAAGGGCATTGTTTTGTGAAGAATGTTTTTTTTTTTTTTTGTTGTTGTTGTTTTTTTACATAGTAATTAAGTTGTGCCAGGAGTTTTTTGTGTGTTACTTAATTTAATCTTATCAGAAAATGCAAGAAGTCCTTGGGACTAGGTTTGATGTGGCAGTAAGTAATGTGTGTAGTAGTGTACTGTAGTACAGAGGGGCCGGCAACCTTTTGCTAACGATGTTCCGACTTTTAAGGTTTTAAAATTAAAATGAAATATAATTTTTTTTAATCATTTGGAGTGCTTAAATATTGAAAATTAGATTTAAAAAGATCTGGTCGTATCGCTTTTTAACAATAGACACATGAACAGGTGTTTTGTATTTTCGATTTTCTAGTGATTTAAGCACAGATTAGATGTGGAACAAGGCCGAAAGTAGTGAGCACCCAGTGAGGATCGAACCCACTATACAGTTGTAATTGAAAGAACGAGACAAGCTAGTTAAACATGTGTCATGACAATGTCCAAATGACACCATGTCGAAGTGTCCTCTTTCGATTCACTCTACTTCGTGCTTTTTATCAATTTGAAAAAAAATAACTCCTGATTACGAATTTCAAATTTCCTGTTATTAATTAATGAAGATATTTTGTTTTGGCTTCCGTAAGGTGATCGACAATCCTATTTTTGAATAATAATGATAATAATAAAACTTTATAATTTTGTAATCTAGAATGCTATATTGAATAGAAAACTTTAAAAAAAATTACATTTTGCATTTGCTTGCAATTCTATTTCCATTATATATCAACTTGTAAGCATTTTTTCCGAGTTTTTTTTATTCCATTTTTACAATACATAAATAAATAACCTTACTTTTAAAATTTATTGTACTTTTAACTTTTCTAATATTCATGAATCAGTAGGTGTGTCAGTGTCCGTGTCCAAAGGGTAAAAAAAAATCAATGTTTAACTCTTAGTTTTATAGTGATTTTCCAAGCGTAGCTCAGATGTGGCACAAGGCAGAAAGTAAGGGGTACCCAGTGAGGATAGAACTCACTATTCAGTCGCAATAGTTCTGAGCGGCACGAGATTGCTAACCATTAC